TCGTCCGACTCGGTCGCCTGAAACTGAAAACGAACACGTTTGTTTTTGAGGCGATCGAGTCGGCCGATCGGGCCCGATCCCATCCGTAGTGGGCACCCCGTATTTAAGCTACAGGACCGTTTATCGTGAGTCTGCAGGTTTGGCGGTTCGAGCCTCAGATCAGTCTGACATGGTGTCCTTTTCAGGCACTTTACACGAAATTCCTATTTGGTCGGGTCCTTTCAGAGACGGACATTAAACTTAGAGGTCCCCCCTCTTAATAACCTAATAGTGTTGATAAGAGCGTTAAAACTATACCATTTCCCTATTTTCTTTTTAAAGTTTGAGTAAAAACCTGTGATGTCTGACAGTGAGACTCGTTCCATGTCGTGTTACTTTGTGTTTTTATTCAAAGGAGCAAGAGGAAGTCACTTTCTTTTTTTCCCAGATAAACAGGCTCCATGTTTGCGCTGCATTGATTGATTTTTTAAAACATCTAATGATTAAGTGTTCAAAAGAGAGTAATATTTGTTTAAAACCTAGCAATGTTACAGTAAATGAAAACTATAATGAAACATTTGTCCAGAACTGCACAGTATTGTTTTCATTTTTAACCTATGAAAAACACGTACAAATACACGCGTTCACAGAAAAAGCACTCTCACATAAACCTAAGAAGATGGGAACTCTCGTGTCTTAGAGGTTAAGGTGTTCGCCTCTCATTCAAAGGTCCCGGGTTCGAATCCGGGTAGCCACGGAAAAATGTTCTTCTCTAAAATTCTCTCCTTTCACATCCTTTCCTGCTCTTTAGCAATGTTCTGTCGTCTGCTTTTGTCTCCACTCTCTGCCCCCACCCTACCCCTTTTGCCCCCTCCTCTGGACTCTTGACTCTTTCTGCAGCCTTTCTACTGTTACTCTATGGCTCCTACTTACTGCTGTCTTTCAGTCACAAACCTGATCTTCTGGTAGGAAAGATCTACACTAGCCCTCTCGGACAAGGGCGAAAAATCTCGGAGGTCCCGTGTACAAGTTGCGCTCGTTAAAGATCCCTTGGTGGTCTAAAATCGATAAGAAAAGGCTTCGGCCGCCACCCGGGCAAAATTCAAAATTTCCTACCTACTGAAAATGTATGTGTGCCTAAAGAAAGGTACAATAAGTCGGATTTTGACCATTTTGAGTTAAGGGTAGTACTTTATAGAAAATCCAAAGCTAAAAACAGTGGGTTTTTTTAATTTCTGAGATATTCAAGTTGTTTTTGACATATTGGAAATTTTGCGAGGTCGTGTATAAAGATCTAATTTTTTAAAGAAAATTAGCGTTTAAGTTTAGGACACATACAAACTCGAAAAAAAGGCGATTCGTTTGTTTCTAATGTACTTATTTTTATTTATTTGTGGAATGTTTTCCCAGTCTTTCCAAGTGAAATAACGCTTAGGGAACACTCTACTCACCTCCAGACTGGCCTAAAACAGACGCAGCGTAAATGACCAACAGAAACACGAACTGGGATCCCATTTCAACCATGATATTCGTCAAAGTCCAATCTGTGACAAACAAGATGCTCGAAAATATCTCTCTTTTGTGGAACCTAAACACACACACACCAACAAACGCGCGCCGTCACGCAAAGCCCAACTGAGGAGACAAGGCAGCCTAACCAGATGTGTGGCTTAGTATAGACAGACGGCGAGCTCTCTCCTCAACGATTTAGTAGAAATAAACTCAAGCTCTCAGGTGGCAGCCAAAAAGGCTTTTGGGTGTAATGTACAAAAATCCGACGTTAGCTAATAATGGACGGTTTATTCTGGGAGAGATAAGGCTGCCTCGTTGTCTCTAGAGATCACCTGAGGTCTGGGGGGAGAGCGAGGTTTTTTACAACCTCTGGCCGGCCTGGAGTCTCGGTAGTTTGGTGGGTCGTGAGGCAATGATGGGTGGCTCTGTGACCTCACACATTTGCATAGTCCACAGGATGTTCGGGTTTAAAGGCCCCATGCTCGCAGAGACCTGGCCCCAAACCTTGCCGAGAACCTTCAAAATACTGGGAGTGAAGGTGTACATACATTTTTGTTAGGAGTAAAATTATGTGTATACATGTAATTATGCATTGAGGTCGGAATTTTAGTTAATGTTATAACTTCTTTTAAGCTTTGTATTGCAAGTCTCAAAGAGAGAATTTTTTTATTGATTTTAAACTTGAGTGTAAAGTCATAGAAAACGTTTCAAGAGCTGAGATTTGTTTGTGTGTATTTGACATTAGGGTTTGAAAGTGGTTCGAAAACACACACACAAACACACACACACACACACACACAT